GAGAGAGAGAGAGAGAGAGAGAGAGAGAGAGAGAGAGAGAGAGAGAGAGAGAGAGAGAGAGAGAGAGAGAGAGAGAGATTTGATCCATAACCAGTTAAAACTTACAAAGATGGAAATCGCTCGGGTGACAGGTTCTGCCAGCGTCACTCACGAATGACAGTTTTCTTGTGGACAGAGTTGACCGGAGAGGATATTATCGCGTCTCTCAATCCATATGATGCAGATGGGAACCTGGATGACACCAGTCTTGGGGGGGAATAATTGGTGTTCGCTGTTCGGTTCTCTTTTGTTCATTTCTTTTTTTGTTCCTTACATTCCTCAATTCTCTTCCTCAGTTCTCCTCCACTGTCATCCTCCTCGCTGTCATCGGCCTCATGCCAACCTTTTAGCTCGCAGGAGTTGCTGAAGATGAAGATGGAACTCGAGTCACGGCTTGTCTACGGCTACATCCCGGAAAATCGGCATCAACCCATTCAGACAGACAGAGAAAGACCGTCACCGTGCAGTCTTCAACCGGACGCAGCAGATGAAAAAGGGCAGACGTCTCCGCAGCCAGGGCAGCCATGAGAGGTGTAGTGTTAGGTTTCGTCAAATCTTTTGCACATGCGTATGGCGTCGTTGGTGCGACGAACAAAAGGGCGTTCAGTGTTCACTGTTCGGTGTGCACGTATAGAAAAGGACGCTTACTGCCATTTGTCGACTTTTAATTCCTTGAGTAACTGAGGGGAGGGGCATCAGTGTAAAATTTGCTGTTAACTTGCGAGTGCCAATCCGAGGACACCATCGGTTCAGGATCGGGAGGCGTACATCGGCAGCAGACTGATCCGCGGGGGAGGAGCAGCAGGAAGGTTTTCTTTTCTTGGACTGACAAACTTTGGAATAAATAAATAAATGAATTAATTATTATTTTATTTTATTTTTAACTTGGGAATAAATCACCTCTTGTCGCGTGACCATTTATTCAATTGCTGCAGTTTCGTTGACATTTGTCGCTCTCCATCACGGGATGACAGTCGAACTTTCTTCTTTTTTGACACATTCCGCTTAGGAGTGAGGGTTGGGCCCAGGTCCCACTGCGTCTAGGAGCGAGGATTGTCCCAGGTCCCGTTGTGTCTGGAACCAAGCCAGTTCATTAATTGGGCCCAGCCTGGCCCAATCAGAGGTCAAACCAGAAATTGGAATTCAACTGTGTACTGCCTACGCTTGTATCCCCCTCTTGCATTTAGAGGGGGGGGAAGGGGGGGGGGAAGGTGAGGAGGAGGGGGGGGGGGAAGGAGAGGGGGAGAAGGGGAAGGGACAAGACAGTGGGTTACTTGATTATTTTCAAACTGAAAGGTCATCCTTTAGGGGGCCTCGATCCACCACTCGCCAAATGTCCGAAGTGAGGACGAATCTTCCGCTAGAACATGGGAAGATACAACCACCATCATTTTTGTCTGCATGTTGTGAGGGGTGGAGTGGAGTGGAGGACCTTTAGTTTCCTTTCCCTTACTTGATTATTTTGGAACTGAACGGTCATCCTTTAGGGGGCCTCGCTCCACCACTCACCAAATGTGCGAAATGAGAATGAATCGTTCGCTAGAACATGGGAAGATACACCACCATCGTTTTTGTCTTTTGCGCCTGTTGTGAGGGGTGGAGTGGAGGACCTTAGTTTCCTTTCTCTTCTCTTTCCTTTGCCGCCGCCTCTTCTGAATCACACGACTTGGTCTTGTTCTGCTAACTGCTCTTTTTTCTCCCTTTTCTTTTCTAAATTGCAATAAGTGGGGGAGGGTTAAAGAATAGGGTGGCGGAGAAACAGACGTCCAAATGCTAACTTCTTTTTTTTTTCTTTTTTTCTTTTTTTTTCCCAACTGCAATAAGAGGGGAAGGGCTAAAGAGGAGGGTGACTGACAAACGGACCCGAGAGGTTACATGCTGCTTGGAGCTGAGTGTGCGAAAAAAATTTCCGACGCGCCTGTGTGGCGTTGAGTGAGGTTATGTGTTGAGTTTGGACACTACAGCCCCTTGCAAGGGTGGGGTGGATATCATGACCGGTATGGTTCGACTTTTGAACACCGTGTCCTTCCTGGCTGTAGAGTTGTTTGAGGGACTTGGCTCTTTGGGCCAAGGTCTCCAGTGCGAATCTGTGCTTGCACGGAGGAGGGCTGAGGGGGGCCCAGATGTACGGACCCATAACTACTAAAGAGGAGGCGGGCCGAGAAACATATTGACTTACCGTGAGGGCACGGGTGCGCAGCCCGTAGGTCATTTGTTTATGTGGTTCGGGAAGGGTAAGGTAGTGAATATGTTGTATGTATGTTTTGTCATGTTCGCTATACACAACTCGAAGAGAGTGTGTGTGGGGGGTCCCGGTTGATGCCTTATTCACGATGTTCATGGGACGCTG